TAATTGTTTGGAATGGAGAGTGGGGCTGAAATTTTCCTTTATCAAAACATGCATAGAGCTTATAGCAATTCATTGGATTTTGATACAGACAGTCTAGTGAATGATATTTTCGGGAATTGAAAAGAAAATGCAGACTGGAACTACACAAACACAGAAGTTAAAGCAGATACTAATATAAAGGTATATTAATTTCTAATTACAAACATTGAGAATAAATTTATAAAGAATTGCATGTGTAAATAGATAATTTCGTAAATTGTATGCAGAAGTCGAACTCTTCTATGGCAGATTTACTAGCCAAATGTGCTTTTTAAATATTCGATGGTTTCAACCCAAAAAAAGAGATCGAATTTCTGAATTTTTAGCACTAAATGAAAACATTGCTTAAAGTTTAACAAGTTTATTGCAAGTTTAGGGAACTTGTGTTTGAAACGTTTTATTTTCTCCCTTCCTATTACAGCATATTCCTTTAACTGGTAGTTATTTTTTTATCAATTCTGTATGATAAATGAGTAATATTCTGTTTTAATTATCATTGTTCATGCATAAGATCAAACTTTGCTGTTTGCTAAGTAATCCCATTTTAATTTCTTTTGTTCCGTAACAGTCCAACTTTGAAGGATATCAATACTGAGACTGAGTCTGATATTACACTTAATATCAGACTGCTCACTAATATCGGACTGCCAAAGGTGATTTTTTAGACTGCAAGAACAAAGGCATGACAGCAATGTTTTAAGTCAAAATAAAAAGGTATAACAAAACATTTATTGATTTTGTTCTCGGGCAAAATGTGTTTTGACGACCCCCCAAACCAAAAGCCTCAGGCAAACAGTTTGGTTATTGGGTCCGACAAGACGCATGTCAGTAAAACTAGTAAACCCAGCCCTTACATGTAAATGTATAATAGTTCAACATTCGAAGTACTTCAATATTACCAAAGAAAAAGTTAAATTTAAATACATTTCCGTTTTATAAGTGGCTATAAAATTCAAATTAACATGATTAATAAATAAAATGAGTTGCGGTTAAAATATCTAGCATAATTCTGGATCTCTTTTGAAAGAATATCACTTACAAATAAGCATGACTATCGGTCTTGTTTTTTTTTTCTTTTTTAAAAAAAGCGGTATTTAAAGTTTAAACTGTTAAAATAACTTACTTCTTCATAAACTTCTTGTACCTTCTCCTTTGAATCACATCCACGTTTTCTTAGTAACTTCAAATAATCAGACAAACATTATAAAACAAAATTCATCTTCAAATAATCAGAAAAACACTATGAAATAAAATTTTTAATTAAAAAAAAATGATTTGGCAGATTTACTAGTATGGGGGGGGGGGGGGCTGATATATTTCCACTTTAAAGTATTTCACAATAACCCAAAAATTGGAAAAATGTCATTTCTTATCAATCCCTCAACAAATCATGTTTTCTTTAATTTTGAAAAAGGGAAGTGTCCATGTAAAATTAAAATTTACATCATCCTTTAGATGGATTGCCCCTAATACACATTGAAATGAATTTTATCTAGTTTGTAAACAAGAATACAGAGAAACTAGAAGCTTACGGGAAAATTTAACATGTACAGTATTGTGTTGTGTTAACCCAAGGCTTCAGTCACATGTCTTTCTCACATTCCGTACCTGATAGAATGTTTTTGGTCAGGGTTTGTACCGTGATACCGACTATTCTAGAAGAAATTAATCATTTTTGCACAATGGAGAAAAATACATACTTTGAATAAGAATGAAATGGAACACCAGGTATATTCAATGATGTGCTTTACTTGCATCATCATCATAATAGCTATAACATCCTCATTAAAAATAATTTTAGATCCGCTATTGGAGTTCTCTAGACTTAGATCTATCGTCCTTGTATTGTTCAAGGGGACTTGCAACAGCCTGAGCAAAAATGTATGCTCCCCTGTCATACTGTATATCGGGTTTTTGCTCAGATTTTCTATACATTATTCTCTTTAGAGAAGTGGACAGTCATAGCCTACACCCACACGTAGATAAGATGTATCGGGTATGCCTGTCCATATCCTGGTCTTGAGAGTCTGGCACTGTGGTATTTTCTTACCTGTAGATAATCACGTTCAAACTGTTGATTGTCATGGTAAGTAACGTGTAGATTATATCTCTGAATAAAAATGTTATTTGTGAAGAAACACCTGCATACGAAATACATTTTTGTGATAATCCTGGTTATTTACATAATATGGTTCGTTTGGTGTATTTAGTAAAACCTTACTGTGAAATGTTAGTTAACTCGGAGTTCATAATTTCATTTTTTATTTTCATAAGCAATGCAATATATGAGTGTATATCTTATAAGGTTAAAAAATCATATGTATTGAGGTTGATATTTATTGCAAAGATACAATCACAGTTAGTTGATTCATGGATGAATTTCCAAAGAACAAGTTACCTAGAAGAAAAATGGCAGCCTCCATGATGGAAGTGAAGGAGCCGGTCAAAGAAAACCAAGAAGAGATTGCAAGTAAAGATATAGGAAACATAAACACTCATCCTGATATTAAATTAGTATGTTCTGTATTTTATTATTTATTTCAATGATTATTCAGTATATGTTTCTTCGCTTAGTTTCCCACAATCAAATTTGTAGAACAGAGGTTTTTCGAACTAAATGTTCATTGAAACATTTTGTACACGACGGAAAGACGCTAAAACGTTAACTGTAATTTTATACTTTCAGATAAGACCTTGCATTAGTTATTGGAAAGAATTTACATCCTGTTGCTGTATGTATATGGTGACCCTAAAGTCAGGGACATGATGGAAATGTGACTTTTAAAATAATTCAGCTTACATTATTTTATTAATTTTGAGCTATCTCGTGTCAAAATTCAAGGTTTTCTACAAAACTCAGTCGAGTAAATCATACTTCATTCTTTTTTTAAAGGCATGGATGTTTGAAAGTGTATATTTTTGCGGTTACGTGTTCACAAATACGTTACTTTAAAGAGAATGTTTAGGACAATAGTCAAACTAAAGAACAATCCATTCTTAAAGCTGCGTATCAGAGCTGAACACCTGTTCAAAACATTAGCACCCAAAATATACAGCTTCGCACAAGAACTTTAAAGAATTCAGGAAAATTATTCAAAATCTAGGCAAAATTCTCGGAGTTTGAGCAACTGACTTCTAAAATATTATTAAAATACCTTTTTTTCCCTTCTTTAAAAAACACTATTTTTTAAAGAAAATATGTAATCTGCTTGGAGGAATTCATTATCTGTCAAAAGGGTTAAGTTCGATTAACTTAGATTGACACCGTCACATTCTTTATTGCAATAGATTCCATAGCATGCAAGCTCAAATTAATGATGCTTTTAGTATGCAAGTTCAAGTTCGTGATGTTTTTATTTAAGAAAAGATAGGATTTCTTTTTTTTAAGTAACTTAAATGAGTTACTCGAGTGCATTATTATAGAATTAATTTCCGTCATGTACCTTACTTTTTAACATCTTTATTTTAATTATATCAATTTGTTAAAAAAATTGATAAGGAACGCTCATTAAAGTTTTTTTTTCATGCTTAGAGATAGTTATAGATTAAAAATTTCAGAAAGACACAACATTATATTTCTCTGATTAATTCTTATAGCATCATCGTCACGTATTAGACAAATATATGTCAATGGTGAAATGACTGACTGCATCCCTTTGAGGAATATCTCAGACAAATGCTATACAATGCAGAAGGGAGAAAATGATGCAGTTGATGCCATGGTATGTAGAGCTAGAAAATTTTATTTTTTTCTTACTGGTACATGTGCAATTACATAAATTATTCATGTTTGAAAAGCTTGCATTAGAAGAATATTAGGATTTCACATCCTCATGCTAAAAATTGCACAGTGGCTGAAGTGTTACTAACTCTCGTGGTTTTATAAATCACAGAGAACAGAAATTATATACTAGATGTTTCATATTTACCCTACCTAGTGGTGAGAAGGCCATAATTACAAGTTTTAAGGTTATTGATGGAGAACTTGATGTGATAACCTCTGCTACACGAAATTAGTGCTAATTGTCATTGCTGCCAGTATACCAGGTGAAAGCTTTTGGAGTAGATTTTTCCATAGTGACTATAAACCGTATCTGAACCAGATTTGCAGATTTACATGATACATATAGAACTCAGTATTGCTTCAGATTTGATGTTTCTTTTTCTGTTGACGTTTAACTATATATAGTTTGTAATGATAAAATGTCTCATTAAAATTCATTTGGTATACAACATTGCTTCACTTTCAGGTAAAATTGGGATAGATGAGCTCTGTATTCTTTTTTAATACATATGTTAAAAATTGTTTCTAAATATTATAGAATGAACTGATAGCATATGAGAAGCAGAGACATGCAGAGAGAGTGAAAATGAGGACTGCAAATGATATTTGGGAGTACCGAACCTCAGCACCAGAAAACTGGTCCAAACCCCTCCCAGAATTTATGGAAGCCAGAAAAGACACTCATCTCAATAAAATACAAAACAATTGGGAAAAAGAAGAACTTAGAATAACAGTTAGGGATTTTCTAATGAGAGATCAAACATGCTCTATATTATAAATAAAATTAGTGTTCTCATTAACTTACTAATGTGTATGGTTTGAAACGGCATTTTTCTGATATTTCTACGAGAATTTCAACATGCCTTACATATGAGAAGAAAAATGTCTTTTCTTATGTATTGTCAGGGATTTTTTATCAGGGGCCTATTCAAGTTGTTATCTTATAAATCAAGGTAAATGAAGGAAGAATTTTTTTGATTCAATTATTTTCCAGAAAAGTAATTTTTGTATAAGTAATAAACCAATATGAAATCATGTAAAATCATGTAAAACCATTTACAATCATGTAAAACAATTTCCCTATGTGATTATGCTCACTGGAAAAGAACTTGGTATATTAAACATTCTTGTGCTAAAAAACATTGGTTAGTTTTAGAGGAGTTGAATTTCAGTAACCTGTTTTATTAGTACTTTACCAAAGCTGCAGTACATTAAGATCTTATTAAGGTTTCTCTAATTAAGACCCCGCAAGGATTTGCAGGTGCCCTATAGTAATCACTCTGTATGTCTGTCTGTCTGTCTGTTTGTCATTCTTCTGTCCACAAATTTTCTGTTTTATTTCTAATAATAATTTTTTTATGGTTCACCAATTAAGTTCAAATTTGGTATGTTGGTTGGATAGGCAGTAAGACATTCTGATGCTAACTTTGGTTCTCTTTGTCATCTGGTGGTGGGATAGATCCCTTAACTTTATATAACAAGAGGCCCAAGGGCCTTAACGGTCACCTGAGTATAATACAACACTGTAAAGGATTCCATAGAAGTATAAAACAAAATTAACTGATAGATGAAGCAATGTTGCCCAAGAATTTCAAAAATCTGGTTAAAATACCCTTGCTTATTGTAGCGTGCTAGACCCGAGTGATCTCCTTGGGATCATACTTGGTTTTCCCAAGCCTTAGAGGGATGATAACTAATGCAAAATATACAAATACAGTGAACATTTGCCTATTGTGTAAGGTATTCAATATATGTCACTTGCCTAGTGGTACAATTCAGTACACAGAGTCTTGGCTATACATTGTATAATGTTGCTATTTGCCACTTGTCACTAATAACAACAAGTCACCCTGACTCTCTGTGATTCTTTGTTCACTTTGATAAAATATAAAACAACTATATCCAGTCTCTTGTCAATCTTGACTTTACCTGATAATACCTCATCCACTGTCAAACAGATCACTTCAGTGTAAACATACTGTGGACTATTTCAACTTTTGCTAAATATATAAATAATCTTTACCTCAATATTTTATACTGCTTTCCAGGCAAGAATCTGACTTTGAGCATGCTTAGCTCATTAAAACCAAACATTCATTTTTATTTTGTTTCTCTATATATAACATTCTTTCTTGTATTCTCATTCAGTCAAATAACCTGTTAATTAAATTATATACAAGGATTTCTTGATTAACACAATCTAACAAAGGGGAGTAACTCTCGTTTTCTTCACTTATTACGAATGTGTACTAGTGTTTGCCTCCTAGATACTCAGGAGCAAAGAAAAGACACATTTACTTATAAAAATATTTAATACATTTATATTGGTATTATTTCATTTAGTTTGTTTGCTAAGTACTCAAAGGCAGAGGAGAAGATTTTCAAAGCATTAATGCATTTTTGCTAATTAATCAATAGAGCCCCATCAAAGCACCAGAACCTCTGACCCAGGGGCATGAAATTCACAATTTTAGAAGATGCACTCTTCCTCATCATAACTATGTACTTAGTTCCAGGGAACAGAGGAGAAGATTTTCAAAGAATTAATGTATTTTCACTATATTACCATTAGAGCCCCACCCTAACACCAGAACTCCTGACCCTGGGGCCATGAAATTCACAATTTTGGAAGAGGCACTCTTCCTCATCATAACTACGTACTTAGTTCATCAGCTTTATACCCAGGAGTAGAGGAGAATTGATTTTTGAAGAATTAATGCATTTTCACTATATAATCATTAGAGCCCCGCCCTAACACCAAAACCCCTGACCCTGGGGCCATGAAATTCACAATTTTGGAAGAGGCACTATTCCTCATCATCACTTTGTGCTTAGTTCATCAGCTTAATACCCAGGAGTAGAGGAGAATTGATTTTTGAAGAATTAATGCATTTTCACTATATAATCATTAGAGCCCCGCCCTAACACCAAAACCCCTGACCCTGGGGCCATGAAATTCACAATTTTGGAAGAGGCACTATTCCTCATCATAACTTTGTGCTTAGTTCATCAGCTTAATACCCAGGAGTAGAGGAGAATTGATTTTTGAAGAATTAATGCATTTTCACTATATAATCATTAGAGCCCCGCCCTAACACCAAAACCCCTGACCCTGGGGCCATGAAATTCACAATTTTGGAAGAGGCACTGTTCCTCATTATAACTATGTACTTAGTTCATTGGCGTAATATCCAGGAGCAGAGGAGATTTTTGAAGAATTAAATGCATTTTCACTATATAACCATTAGAGCCCCGCCTTAATACCAGAAACCCTGACCTTGGGGCCGTAAAATTCACAATTTTGGAAGAGGCACTTTTCCTCATTATAACTATGTACTTAATTCATTGGCTTAATACCCAGGAGAAGAAGAGAAGATTTTTGAAGAATTAATGCATTTTCACTAAATAATCAATTGAGCCCCACCCTAACACCAGAACCCTGACCCTGGGGCCATGAAATTCACAAATTCGGAAGAGACACCTTTCCTCATCATAAATATGCATATTGTTTGTTTGCTTGATACCCAGGAGCAGAGGAGAAGATTTTTAAAGAAATAATGCATTTTCACAATATATTCAACAGAGTCCCGCCCTAGCACCAGAACCCTTGACCCTGGGGCCATAAATTTCACAATTTTGGTAGGGGGCTCAATGCTTATTACAATCATGCCAACAGTTTGATTGCTTGATGTCCAGGAATAAAAAAGAACAATTTTAAAGATCGCATTAATTTTAGTGGTTTTGGCCCCTTCCCTCAGGCCCCGGGGGGGGGGGGGGTAGGGACCATGAAATTCACAAATTTTGTTCCCTTTTACTCATAGATGCTGTATGCCGAAATTGGTTGAGCGGTTTCAGAGAAGAAGCTGAAAATCTTCAAATGTTAACGCACGATGCACGACGACGGACGCAAACAGATAGCAATAGGTCACCTGAGTAAACTCAGGTGACCTAAAAATGAATGGGCAAAGAGAAATAACTGCCTAGAATGTGCCTATTGTAAACTGTGAAAGCTGCAATGAGTCCCTTGGGATTAATTAACTTAAGTTTCCTCTTGAAGAAAATCCAAAGCTTTATCTTTATCTGTCACATTGAGATTAATTACCAAGCTTTTTCTGCAAATGAAGTTTGTTTTGAAGTTAAGGTCAATTCTGAATGCTGTGTACATTCTCTGAAATGTGGATTTAGATAATGTTCTTTCTTTATTTTGGTTAAAATACCGCACACAATGAGTTATGATGTTATTGGATTTTAAAAACAAGATAAAGATAAAGATCTATCTTTTTTAATTACTATTTTATTTTCTTCCTTTTTCTTCCTTTCTCTTTTCTTTTTCTTTTTTTTTTTTATTTTTGGCTGCCTTATGTAAATTCAAGAATACTATTCATTTTAACAGGTAGTCAGATAATAACCCCATTCTATCATTGCTGAAAAATTTCTTATTGTAAATTCAGAAAAGGATGAGAGAGAACCCTGGTATTAATTATCTTGCTTGCTGAAGAAAATTTAGTAGGCTTATCTTTATCTGTCACTTTAAGATTGATGAACACCTTTGTCTGCAACTGATGTTTGTTTTGAAGTTAAGGTCAAGCATTGGTGAAATTTGCATTTACTGAAGGCTGGCTTCAGTGAATACAAGGATACTATTTACAAGTGTTTGAATTTGAAAATACAGTTGCTGTTGCTTATTCTTCTTCATATATTTTTGAATTTTTAAAATCAAGCAAAATTTTTATCCCGTAAGCTGCACCTTTATATTTCTACCCCTCGGCGGGGCCTTTGCTGACTGGTCAGTTATGTAGTTAATTTAAAGTATATATTTTGAGACCAGCAAATAGTTCACGTATTTAAGTTGAATATTGTTGGAAACATCATTTATATAAATAAAAAAATGGAAGTGATCTTAAATCTGAGCCTTGGGGAAGCTAAACAATGGAAGTGGTCTTAAATAATATATGGAGATAACGAACAGTATTCAAGCTCAAAGTCCATTTAGACAAAACAAATCGCGAGCAGGGCAAACACGAACCTCCAAAGACATCACAGGTGGGATCAAGTGCCATGGAGGAGTGAGCATCCCCTGCCGATTGGTCACACCCGCCGTGTGCTCCATGGCATAATCGGGGGAAATCCGTAGACAATTCAGTATGTAAACAATGGCCTAACAATAAGTATGAAAAACGTCAGTCAGCATTTGACCAATGATGGGTTGTATTTGCTGACAAGGTCATTGTATCGACCATAAAACTTGCAAAATGATGACTTCAAACGAGACTGTTGATATCCTTGTTTTATCCACTTGTTTGTCAATAGCTTGCCTCGTTTTATAAATTTTTCATACGAAGAGCTCTTGCTCAAATGGGAGACCAAAAAAACCCATATGCAGGTGATAAGGGTATAATGGTACATAAGTAAGGGAAGTTGACGATTGAAATATTGAAGTCATCGCCTTTATCATAAAGCTTTGTTGTTAGGTTACCATTAAAGTCTTTTTCTAGTAAAATATTCAAATATGAAACAGATGTGTTAGACACTGTGGCATCTTTCATTTCAAGCTCACTGGGATATATCGAGTCGACATATGAATGGAAGTAACCATTGTTTACTTAATTGATAATAAGTCGTCGATATATCTAAATATCAAGTTGAAGGCCACAGCAATTGCATGTTTTCTTCTTCTCATGTAGAAGTTTTTGAATAAATTCTGCTTCATAGGTCTGCTAACAAGGGGGCGCAATTTGTACCCATGAGAATTCCAACAGATTGTTGAAAGACCTGATCTCCAAAAACTATATAGATATTGTCAATCAGAAACTCAAGCATCTTTTTAATATCTACTTCAGAGTACCTGTGTGTACAATCAGAATGCTTTTTTATAAAAATAATTTTGCAAATGACCAATGACAAGGTAAGTATATATACGAGTTCCATTTATATTGAAAAAGCAGCTGTCTATGATGTCAAAAAGACTGAACTTTAATTTATCGTGGGGAATGGTTGTATAAAGTGTTGAAAAGTCGTAAGTTTTGATGTAATTGATTTTGTTAAAATTTTGTGATTCCAAATTTTCTAAAAGTTCCTTGGAGTTTTAAAGTATTCACATCTGATTAACACCACTTCTCGAATATATATTGTTGCACAGTGTTCCTGAAGTTTCTCCTTCATTGCTGTAAATATTTTAGTGAGGAGTAAAAAAAAGGCTTGGTAGAACATTTACTGGAACCCGCTGTATCTTTGTAAGGATTTTTATGGAATTTAGGAATCCAGTATAAGTATGGCAATTCAAATTCATTTTGATCGTTGGGAATATTTAAAAATACTTAAAACTGACATATAGTTTTGAAGAATTTCTTTCTTAGAAAGGGAGCTATGGGTGTAAGTTGGATTACCACTTGCAGAATTAAATCCTAGTTCTTCTAAAATACAATTCAAATAATGAGCCTTACAAACAAAAACCTAACAAACAATGTTGTTACCTGCTTTGTCTTGGGGACAGCTAAACACTGGAAGTGGTCTTATACGTGAGGGATGTAAGGGAGTTAACTCTAAAAACAGAATTCCTTTTGACAGTCTTGTGAAGTCAATTTTTATAATTTTAATAAAAGTACTTCTACTACATATACACATGGAAACTACGCGTTATCGATGAAAATCTGACGGCTAAGCAAAATTATATTTACCAACATAAGACTATGTTCAGCTAAATGTTCTAATTGTGCTTGATAATAGCTTGTCGGTGTAATCTATTCCTCCGTAAACGATTGCTTAGTTACTTGCATTAATTTTTTTTCTTTTTCGAGATGAAAATGTCAGGTTTGTTCATGGTAAATATGTGGGAATACCTTATTCTTCTAAACTTTTCATCTTTCTTCTAAAGATTTTTTGTCAAAAAACATCTTTTTGAGAAAAAAAGCACGTGTTCTCTTTTTGTTCCTTTGAAATATGATTTGGGGTGTGTAAAAATGCTATTGTCTGATTGGGCAGAAAAATATTTACGTGTATATGATGTATATTTATAGCAATTTTCAGTCATCGTTCTTGACTTCCATATTTGGAAATCGTCCAGCAGGCATGTTCACGAAACGTTCCTAAGATATGTCCTAAGATTGTTCCTAAGATATGACTTAGGAAGAAAGTTAGGAACATCCTAAGATCAACCTAGGACATATCATAAGATGTAGCTCGACGGTATCTTAGGAACATCTAAGTTAGGATATCCTAACATACGATGAACACTATTATTTCTAAATATATATAAAATTTGGGAGACATTTGCAGCCAAAAAAAACCTTCTATTTACATAACAAAAAATTTATCCATTTACATGAGACTTCAGTATAATTCAATGTTTACATCTTTAAAATTATAAATTACGAAACCAGCCAATTTTTTCTATCAAAGTGAAAGATTTAATTTCATTTTTATTTTAAAAACGGTGTTTCAGCAATAATATCTACAATATGTTGGATAACTCAAAAGTTAAAAAATAATCGTGAATTCAGTAATTTACCACAATGAAGATTATGAGATGACGTATTATAAAAGTCGGAATTATTTTTTGAAAAATAAACTGATAAAAAATATGAAATGAATTTTGCAGGGCTAGAAACCATCTACTATAGAATTCAAAGGGGGAAATTTTATGTTTCACTATTTTAAAGGCAATGCTTAATCCCCGAATTTTGGAACTCTCAATGGTTTTAATTGATGTAAACCAAAACAATATACCCCAATTTACTTATATCAAGGCGATAGATAAAAATAAGAGAATAATTTGCACTTTTGGTCCCTTACACATATTTTAACGTGTATGAATGTTTTTTTTCTGTCTTTTTTTAATAGCTTCATTGTCTCATCACAGCACGTAGTATATCGGAGAGGGGATGGGGCTGGCTCCTCATTATTTTTCCGAAAATAGTCTCTTACTGTTAATTTAATACAGAATTTTTTATTAAAAGGCTGGTCCCCCAAACTTTCTGTTGCATTATGGACGGACCCCCCCACCCACCCACACATTACATGTAAGTAGGTTTTTGAGTGCGGACAGTTTTTTTTTATTAATTTTTTTATGTCAAAGTTTTTCAGGGAATTTTATATTTTGGCTTGTCAATTATATTTTTCTGCCCCCTTACCCTAAAAGTCAAATTTTTTTTTCTGCCCCCTTCCCCAATTTGAAAAGGGATCTGACGTTCCTGTATTATGAATAAGAAGAGGAAGTGAAAATCTTCAAGTACAAAATTCAGGTGCTTTTTGATGAGGTGAAAAAAAATAAATTATCGAACATTGTAACTAATGTTGCAAAGAAGAGGGCTTGGGATAACATTTGTGAAAAAAAAAGATTTGTGTAAATCATCAGCTTATACGCAGACTAATGAGGAACGAGAAATTGTCGCTTATACTTGCGATACTGAGAAAAATAAGCATCACTACAAACTTAGGATGATCTTAGGATATGGTTTGTTGTCCTAAAGTTAGGACGAACTTCTGGCGAGGTCCTAGATTTAGGAAAGCTTCGAGAAACTGACTTAAGACTAAGATATTTCCTAAGACGCTCTTAGGACACATCATAGTCCTAAGATAACTTCGTGAACATGCCTGCAGACCTGTAAAAAGTTAACCATAATCTTATGATTTCCATCTGCTTTCACCCCCCCCCCCCATCCCCAAACACTTTAGATGACCTGAGTCACTCAGGTGACCTACCGTATTGTATTTCTATCTGTTTTCTTCCGGAGACATGCGTCGTCCGTCATGCATAAACATTTGAACATTTTTAATTCTTTCAAAATTTTCTCTGTTCCTGGGTATTAGGTAGATAAACAAAGTGGATGATTATGATAAGCATTGATGCCTCTTCCAAAATTATGAAATTCATGGTCCCTGGGTCAATGATTCTGGAGTTTGGGTGGTGTTCTATTGATCATATAGTGAAAATGCATTTTTTCTTTGAAAAGCTTTTACTTTACTTTTGAGTGCTTACATGTAGCAGAGAAACTAAGTGCATGGTCATAATAAGCTAGAGTGCTTTTTCCAAAATTGTGAAATTCATGGCACCTTGGTCATTAATTTTTTGAAAGTCATCTTCTTTGCTTATGAGTATTTAGCAGAGAGACTAGGTGATGATGATATGGTTATGATGAGCAGAGTGTTTCTTCCAAAATTATGATATTCATAGCCCTTAGCTTGAGACAGGAGTCCTAGAGTTAGGGTTTATGATAGTGTATGAGAATATTTACTCTGCTATAAGAGAGGTTATTCACCTTTATTATTCATATGCGAGTTAAATATGTCAACATGCGAGATTTGTATGTTGACATGTATGCAACTTATTATCTTGCATGTTGACATAAATATCTTGCATGTTAAAATATAACTCGTATGTTGACATAAATAAGTCGCATGCTGGCATAAATAAGTTGAGTCTTTCTCTGCAAAATTCTACAGGGACAGCATTAATTAATTCAATGTGACGCTTATTCAACAAAGAATGGTTCACTGTGTGTAAATTAGCAATTGTCATTTGAATACCAGGGATTTGTTCTGAACGTCCTTGTTCATTAATAGACATTATCAAATCAACTACTACTTCCTGATAATGAGGAACTTTTGTTGTTTTCTATAGCATTACGTCCTCCTTGAACAACCTCCATTAAAAAGAAAATAAATTTAAACCGCGTATACTTTACTGGAAGGTGATATGCTCCAAAATATTTTATTGTTTTCGATGGCAAAGCCACTAGGCCTTCAAATGTTTTGTTTGTTTGTTTCTTTCTTTTGTTTTTTTTTTTACCTTTAGCTCAAGTTCAAGTTGCTTCTGATAAAAAACATATTTAAACCTCATATTGTAAAAAAAAAAAACATATTAAAACTCCATATTGTAAAAAACATATTAAAACCTCATATTGTAAAGCAAAGGCAAACTGCAATTTAATTAAAAAAGTAAAAAAATAATTAGTTTTACGACCTAGATATAACTTATATAGAATCAAATCATTACTTGAACAGGAACAGGCCACTGTTTGTAGAAATAATAATTCATATCAAAACATTCAAAAACTGGTAGCAGAAATTTTGTAAGGGTGTCACTATAATGCTGTGGTCATTTGATAATAAATATTCATGAAATCTTTTTTTACCACACACTCTTGGATACTACAGAAAGAAATATTTTGTCTGATACAAAAGCAAAGCATACATGTCTTGGGATCAGCAATCTTTAATTGTATTCAGACATGGATGTGTCGTCAAATGCATTTCTATTTTAGGATTTATATAACATGTTCCAACAATGAAGAAATGTATTACACTATTTTTAAATATGTGTTAATATTTAATCTTCTAAGAAAATTCTGTTAGACGATGCTTGTTTAATTGGAGATCTCTCCTTAAGTCAAAAATTTTGCCAGGTCAAATATTGAAGGAAAGCGAGGAGAAATCCAGTGGTGGCTGGCGAAGATCCGCCCGACTTGGTGCTTGTCTGTGTGGCCTTTGTTGATGCAGTAGTAGTTACCGTACTTTCCGAGGCTGTTGTCGAATTTCCTTCTGAAGAGAAAGTAAATATTATAACAATTCTAAATAAATACCAGTTCAATTTATTGTTTTTTGGGAATAAAACTCCGTTTACATCTTTTCACTTTACTCAAATTTTTGACAGTAAAATATAAACTGAACCAGTTAAACACAGACCTGAATTAGCACTCACAAGGAAGTTCATCAATAATATTGTCGCAATAGTATGAATAAGATATTTTCCCATCTATAAATTTAAAACAAACATAACTCGATTACAGTTAAAAGAAAAGTCATTTTACCGAAAGAATATATATATATATATATATATATATATATATATATATATATATATATATATATATATATATATATATATATATATATATATATATAAAATCAACGAAATTCTTTGAAGAGAATAAAAAAATCAGCATTACTCATTAAAAATGATATTCCAAGAAATTGTCCTCAGTGTTCAATTGTTCGACTTGCTAATATTTAAAAAGAAATAGAATGATTTTTTTGGCACTCACCAAGACATTTACATTCTGGAGAATATATAAGGACAACACACCTTTGATAAGTTTCTTAACCATTCTAATACTGCTGCTTACCTTGATAGTGTGGCAAAATTCTATATCCGGCAATGAATAAAAATTAAATTTTATCACTTAAATTAGTTTGTCTGTTAGTCCAAGTCCTCTCTATCCAAAAAATAATCTGAATTAAGGAAGATAACTTAGGATCTACGATGACAAATACCTATAGAGCTAAGTGATCTTTTACCGGGTTTACGAGATCAATTTACATACAAATGTAAAGTTTCCTGGTTTTGCTGTAATTTTAAGTAAGTCAAGAAAATGAAGAAAACCCCCTCAGAAATATTACAGTTACATGATCTAAAGATGATGAAAACAACACCGATGAATTGAATGACAATAGATATTGTCGAACTGTATGTAATTAAACTCAACCGGCGCAATTTATGCATCTATATTGTGAACCAATTATTCGCAATATGTACGAAAGCCCAGAAGGCTCATTCGAGATTCGAGTTTCTAAATACGGGATTCGAAATTCAAGATTCGAAATTCGAGTTTCGAGATACAAGATCCAAACTAACCAATCAAAAGGCGGTTTAAGATTCAATTACTCCCCTTTGCTAAGTTTTGACCTTCAAGAAATCGTTGAATTTATTCAAACTGAAGAGGTCATTTGATTATATTACAATGCAAGAAAGAGTGTTATATATATCAGAACGAAATTAGAAAAAAGATTGGGTTTTTGATCTGCAAAGTTACTTTAATTTATATAATAACTTCTTAGATATTATAATAGATTTATATCAAGAATATCTATATCGTATTATCTTGTTTGTTAATAGGGTTTGGGTCATTATAATAAATATTGTTAATCGGATTCAAAGAGCAAAAGGGGGGGGGGGGGCTTATTGTAGTCGATGAGAATTATTAGTGTGCTATTAAACAAGTGACTAGCGTTTAATGATGAAAAGTAATAAAGGTTTCAAAGTGGATATAGTTTGTGACAAGGTATTAGAAAGTGACCAGTAACCAATACGGGTTTCAAAGTGGATATAGTTTTGTGACAAGGTATTAGAAAGTGACCAGTGACCTAGTTTGTGAAACCAAGAGACAGCCCCTTAAGTACGGATGGCTAAAATATACATGCTTAATCAAGATAATGATTTCTCTTTGTTCAGGCCCGTAGGAAATAATAAAAATGTAATGTAAAGACCCCCCCCCCCCCAAAAAAAAAAAAAAAAACAAGGGTTATCACGGTTATTAGACGTTATTTTTGAAAGAACGCAAACATAATAAATTTGCTATGTTTTCTATAGTATATTATATCGGTAAAAATATAAGGGGAATGTGTGTGTGTGTGTGGGGGGGGGGGGGGCACGTGCCAGGGTCCTATGGCTATGGTGTTTATTTTGTTACAACGGTAGACAAATGTTCGGTTATCAACATTCAGTGTCAATCTTGCGATGCATGGGCAAAATAATTATATATTTGATAATTATTTATAAGGAAACCGCTCAGGTCTCGCAAGATGCATAACCAATCAATACACAAGTTTCAATACATGATGTAATGGCCATAGAGAAAAAAAGATATAAAAGTGTTGAATAATGATAAAAAAATAATTATTTTAACAAAACAATGAACTCTTTATACACCTTTAGGACTTCGAAAAAATCATATAGCCTAAAGGAGTTCGTATTAAAATTATTTAGTTCATGTATGCCTTTTTAGTGTACACAGGAAATCTTGAAAGACATCGTAGTAGAGCTTTCTTAATGTTGTGTATTCCATATATGCAATAAAGCTGTAGCCTACACATCATTTTCTTGATATAAAAAAAAATGTTTATTTATACATGTGTTTGGTTGAAAAATGGGTGGAAAGTTGATCATAATTCTTATTTATTTACCAGTTACTAGAATATTTTTTCATTCAATGCAATAAAAGTATTTTTAGCAATCCACACTTTTATGCCTATCCAATTTTTACAGTATACAAAACTTTTGATTTTTATAAGTGGTTAAATCTAGAATTGAAATGTTATCTTGAAGTCTATTAAAAATGACAGCCGCAGGAGTCTACGATTAGAACAGGGAATAGAAATTAGGAAATATGTTTGGAATTGTAGGAAGTCAAACATAAAACATTTTAAAAATTATATTTTGATTATTCAGTAAAGAAGTTTCCATAATTTCCAAGCACTGTGTAAGGATTTTAAAATTTCTCAATTTTATTAGCAGTGGTCATGAAGATTTTAATTTCTGAACAAGTAATACCTTTTCAAAAAGCTTGCCTGACTAAGGCAATCAATATCTATAGAACCTACATGATAAGTAAAAAACGTTTACATGGGGGGGGGGGGGGGTAATTAGTTATGAAGACGTTGCACAAAACATCATGCATTAATTTTAAGTTGTTTGCTACTCATCAGAGCAATGGAAAAGGAACAAATTTTAAAATGTATATATTGTTTGTATCTCATACAAAATATGGAATGTACAGTACATATACATGTATGCATGTGGATAATGTTTTGAAATATGAGTATAGTTAATTTAACATGATATTGAGGATTTTTGATACATATAACATTTTTTTCTTGCATTATTATTAAAGCAAATGACCCATTTGTTATAAATATATTCAGTGATTTCTTGATAGCAAAAACTTAATAAAGGGGAGTAATCAAATATTGAATCTGCCTTTTGATTGGTTAGTTTGGATCTTGAATCTCGAAACTCGAATTTCGAATCTCGTATTTCGAAACTCGAATCTCGAATGAGCCTTCTGGGCTTTCGTACAATATGAAAGATATAATGCATATTCCAACACTTGGACGTCAATTCAGTTTGAATGACGCTATTTTGACGTTACAAAATGAGCCCGAATTTTGTGCGCGATGTCTGTACACATCCTCTGAAATGAATAACCTGCTAATATTACAACGACTTTTATGATGTTTCAAAATATCGGATATTGATATTTACAGAACTGACACGAAGTGTTTTAGAAATATACTGAAACACAAACTTAATTTGAAAGAAAAAAAAATCACGAATCAAAGTATTGATATTAGAAATATTTGAGACTTTGAAGTAGACCTTTAACAGATGCCAATAACCCGACTTCTGTTTTTTAACAATCATTTACGCGGCACCTCAATGACAACAATTCATAAAGAGATATAGTCAAACAAATAGACTAAGAATACATTTCACTTAAGATGGTCTCTGTTTATTAGTCGACTACCATTTTGAAATGACTGCATAATTCATTAATTTGATTTTAATTCTTAAAGACAGAAAACCGAAAGTATTCGAGTTTTATACTTTAGTTTTCATCAATAATTGTTCGTTAAAAAATGACAATTTTTTTTTTACCGGAATAATTGTCTGACATAATAAATTGACATAACACTATCTCTCCTTGGTGTGTTTTCATTGATTTACTACGTAGAAACATTAAACACTTTTTGTATATGTATATGTACATGTATATCAGTGAGTTGGATAGATAGGAGTATTGAGGGATAGCATTAGGAGACAACAGACGATGGATAGAGAGAACAGGGAATGGAATGGGGCGACAGGCGATATCAGGGGATTACAGGACATAGATCGTTCATAGCGAAATTGTGATGCCAGGGTCTAAAACGGTAATCTAACGGGAAAATCAGTGCAGTAGGGTACATGCTTGAGGTTTAGATCTATATGTTCCCAGGAACTGAAAACATTCTTTAGCTTTGCAATTTCCAAATTTTATGGAAAAGGGAGTTTGATTTCTTTTTGCACTAGAACTGTTTAACTATATAAAAAATGGATTTGATTCAATGCGTTCGATTCTTTGCATCTTTCTGATTGTTATACATATCTGATAAAATCCAGGAAGAAATTCCACGATTATAAGGCTGAATAAAAGTAGTCAGAACTAAGTCCCTCTTAAAAACAAGGCTCAATTGTATAAACTTAATAGTTGATTTCTATACTACTAGTATAAGAAGTCCCTGATAAGGATTCATATTTTGTTTTTCATCGGTCGGAATTTCATTCTGATCTTTTTTTGTGTCATTATATACATGTAGACATAGAACAAGTTTCCATAGGCCCTTATGGCCTGAAAACAAATACAGCATTACACTTGCTGAAATATATCTTGTTCAATCATATAAATTATAAAAACAAATACATGTATTAGTAATAGTATTACTTACATAAGTAAGTGTTAAATTGATCACTATACTCTAAACATGCAGCATGACGTCACAGAAAAAAAAAACTCGCATGTGGAAGAAACAAAACATCATTTTGGCATCGCAATGTACCTGTATAAGCGCATTCGTCGCAATGTACATGTATAAGCGCATTCGTCGAGCAACAACTATTCGCTGAATGCAATATATTTCCTAGACAGAACATTATTTTCGACATTTTATAATCGACTTGAAATATTTGTGACGTCACAGTTTGTTCAAAATTTGTATTCTTTTTCCCGAGTTGCTATCTTCTTAATTTTCTATCACTAAATTTCTGAATTCGATCGTCTTGAAATTTTAAGACAAAAGTTAATGCTCTTCACACCTACCTTTATGACAAGGTTATACGTACTTGTAAGCTCCCCCCCCCCCCCCCCATTTTTGCAAAGGAGAGACATCAACAGAACATGCTTTATAAAGTTTTAGCATTTTCTAGTAAATTAAATAGGGATTGCAAAAAATGAGTACATATTTTGTGCTTTTATTTTTTTCTGCAGATTTCAGATTTTAAAGACCGAAATATTGCCTTTCAACATGAAATTTGGCAATACTTAAGAAAATACTTTGCATCACAATTTGGGTTTACACAGATCATTCTAAACTATAATTCAGTGGTTACATTTTTATTATAATTTTAAAAAAGTACAAAACGTAAACATATAATCTTTAATATTCATATTTGAATAAGCCTAGGCCTATATGTTGGTTGACTGGTATGCCTTTGAAATCGAACTTGTCAATAACTTCAGATCGTTATTCTCAGTAATAGTGTAACAAATGTAATAAAAGTCTTCCCATAGCCATGATTATGGCAACAAAAACACTTCCGGTTGCACTAGTCCTTGGACCACCACCTCCATTATTGTCCGTACCAGTTGCATTTGTTGCTTCTGAAGAAAAATAAAACTTAGATTTAAATG